TGGGGGGCAAACTTAACGGAGTTAGGGATTCGATCTTTATACTGTCGCTTCGCATTCAAACAAGTATTTTGTGACTTTCAGTTGATAAATTCAAATTAGGAAATTACTTAGCGAATCAAAAACTTGGTGATTACTAGAGATTTGGCCTTCGTCAAATCTTTTTGTTTTAATTAAGATAATGTAGGAAGTTGTATGGAATTCCTAGTAGAAATATACACAAGTATAGCTCAAATAAAAATTTTGTGTAAATATCTAATGACGAAAGAATCTTGACAGTTGTTACGGTCTTTCCACTATACAGTCGATAGCTCAGAAGCAAATATTAATCATATTTTCTTTATTAAATGATGAAAACAAAATCCACTGATCGAATCTTTTGCAATTAAATTTATGTACAATTTAGGTCCTTTTTTTTATTCTGTAAGTTATAGATAAACGAAAGCATACAATACAATATTCACAAATAAGCAACACATTGATATAGTATGTTATCTTGGTTACGATGAAGATTTTCATTTAGATTTTGAGATTAGATTGACAAGTTAGTTTTACATAAGTCAGAGATGATTGTTTGAATCTTGTTGTGGTACAATAATTGTTGATTCTTACAGAGCTAAAAACATTTTCAAAAATCAACAAATATATAATATAATCAAAAGATTTTTTACTTTGATGAACTCTTTCGAAAAGTTAGTCGACTTTGTGTGGAAATACTTCGATGGAGTCATCATATTTCAACCGCATTCGCAAAGATAGTTCTTCTTGAAATTACCGCTCATATGACTTTTGAATTCCTAAGAATTCATCATATGAACTAAAATAAAAAAGGAAAATACCAAATGAAAATACCTATCTAACTTTTAAATTGCAACCAGATTAATAAAAACATGTCATCATCTTTATTTAGAGTAATTTGTAGATTTTTTCGAATCGCACAAAAACTATCTGTAATAATCGAAACGAATATTGTCCAAGCAATAAAAACGAGAAAAAAAAGATAAATAAAATAAAGGATGTGGGTGAAGAGAAAACTGAAACTCAAGTCCACATCCACTCCATCCATCCACATCCTTTACTATGTCTGCGTATATGGACATATAAAATTGAAACGAAACTACACAAATGCTTTCTATGTGCTATAATCAGAGTCAAATGTGATTGTGACACCCATGCGTTTGGGTATGATTGCGTCCCCTCCATCGCCAGCATATTCGCCGGAATTAACTTCCGGTCCACCATCACCGAATGTTACACGTTGCATCAGTCGAGCACAAATAGCCTTCACTTCAAATCGAGCCAAATCTTGACCAATACATTGACGATGACCACCACCAAATGGAATCGATGCTGCTTTGTTATTATTGGCATTGCTACCTTCCACTAGAAATCGTTCAGGATAAAACTGATCAGGATCAACTGGTCCTGGCCAATAACGTCTATCTCGTCCCATGTTATGGATGGCAATGAACACGAGATCGCCTTTTCTCAATTCAGCTCCAGTCGATGGCAATCGATCATCGACAGTAAGTGTGCGAAGTGTGCCGAAACCAGGTGGAGCAAAGCGAAACATTTCACGAATAACACAATCCAGATAGGTGAAGGAATCGAGCTGTTCGACGGAGAGTGACTGCATATTATACTGAGCCAATTCTTTCTTGACTTTATTCTGCACTTCAGGATGTACGCTGATCAAATGAATGAACCAGGTTAGTGCAGCTGTTGTTGTTGAATAGCCCGCTATGAGAAATGCCAGCATCTCGTCCAATAGTTCAGCACGAGAAAGTCCTAGAAATTCAAGAGAAATCAGTAGAAAATCGTTTTTAACAAGAGGTACAGTGCTCAGCTCGGTTTTCAATAGAAACTCATATACAGAATGGTCTATAAGTAGGCTTTATGATAAAAAATTCAATATTTTCACTCTGCTTCAATCAAATGGACTGGTTTTTTCTATCGATGGTAGAGGATCTTTCAAAGGTTTTTCGTAAGGAAAACACCCTAGTCTCAATCCTGTTCATTGATTGAGAAATTTTGCAAGAATCCGTCAGGATCTTGTCAAGTTTTCCTCAGGATCCTGATTGGATTCCTGACCATTTCTGTTTTCAGAATTTCTCACGATTACGCAGGTTTCTGTCTAGATTTTTTCCCAAATCATCAATACAGAATCCTACTAGGATTCAATCATGCTCCTGTTTAGGGTTCCCCACAGGAATAATAGAGAGGATTCTTTCAAGATTTTATCAGGTTTTAGACAGGATCTGATGTGTATCCTGAAACAAGGACCCAGTCAACTATTCCAGCTGAGACCGAGGAAGATTAAAACAAGAAACCAACAGTTCGAGGGCACATCAGTCGCTGTCACTGGTACTTAACATAAGATGAGCCTGTACTCACATCCACACCCTTGCAGTTCAAAAGCAGTGGTGATCTATTCAGGATCCTCATAGAATCCTGTTTGGAATCCTGCCAGGATTTTGAAATTCTGTGGCTACACATTTCTGCCAAGATTTAGTTATTTCCTCAAGAAAAAAGAGCAAATCCTGGAAGGAACCTGACTGGATCCATTAAGGATCTGGTAAGGAAGGATCAAGGATTTTCCCTAGAATATTAACAAAAAAACTACTTTGCTCTTTTACTATTAGCTCCAACAAGGAAATATGACTGACACAAATTGCAAAAGAAATCATGTTCTTGTGTGACAATTTTAAATGATAGAGCTTGTTATTTTATCCAAAACGAATTACATCGGAAACATTTCTCTATAATTAGAGAAATAAATTAGTCTATTTAGATAGACTGGTGAATTTATCAGGGTTTTCTTTTCAAAAAGTAGCTTTTAGAACACACAGTGTACAAGACACTTCATCGAAATTCAGACAACCTCAAATTTCTTTATTGAAGTCAATAGTAAAAGCGTAAAGTGGTTCTTTCTTAATATTTTTCTAACAAAAAGAAAAATAACTTTGAAAGATCTCCTATCATCGATTAACAAAAATCAGCCTATTTGATTGAAACAGAGTGAAGATATTCAATTTTTTTATTGTAAAGCTACTTATGGATTTTTCAAGTACACTGTATGAGAATTTGTAGTTGAAGACAAGTACAAGTATTTTTGCAAAAAGACAATTTCTGAATAATGTAATAGATTTACCTTTTTTGTCTTCTTCAGTCTTTGACGCTTCAAGTTTTTCATCTTGTTGTAATGAAGCGATTAATGATGCAATCAAACTTATTTTTTTGCGTTCAGCTCTCATCATTGGTGTCTCTTGCAACTCTTGTTCGATCATACGATGTAAGTGCTGATCAACAAGGTCACGTGATCGTCGATATTTGAGATTAAGTAACAAGTATAGACGACCAATGAGTGTCGGCATTTTTATTACTGTCACGATCGTGTCCAGAACTGTGTACAATGCATGAGCAAATTCATTCGTGTTCCTATCTTCTTGATTATCCATT